CATACATACATACATACATACACACACACACACACACACACACACAGTCATGGTTTATTGTAGTATTTTCTCTTTGTGCTAGTGAGTCAGCTGTACTCTGCAAGTACCCAGATGGACGGCGTGTGTTTTTTTCCTATTGTATGTCCTCCCTCAGTAATTAGGCCTCTCATATGAAAACTGTGACCGCAGTCCAACCGCTCCACTTTAATCACCCTCCATCTTCCCGCTGAGCCACACACAGACCCCCCCCCCTCACCCCTTCCGTTTTTATCTCAAGCTTTTTTAATTTGTCCTGCCTCTTCTCTCTCCTATCCTCTCATCCTCCCTCCTTCTGTCCTACTAACATCCATCTCATCCCATCCTCACTTCACTACTGTATGTCTCACCGCTATCTTCCTCAGTCTTCCTCCCTCCCTCCACCCCCCCCGACCCTCACGCAGCACCCCCAGAAGGAGGAAGACCGCCGACTATTCCGACACAACAGGAGGGTAAAAAAAAGAAGCTCCGTTATTCCACTGATGGTGTTCAGATGCATAGTTTCCTTCAAAACTGAGATCCAGCCTGTGTGTAGAGCTGCCTGTGGAAATTCATTTATTGAAATCCATTTACTGCTGCTCACTCTAAACCCATCTACTGGCTTAACTACAACAGCATAATCATAATTGTTTGTTACAGTTTAATGCGCGAACGCCCAGCGGGAATTAAATTCCTGCTGCAGGTTGAGTTATGACACAATAAAACCTTATTTCTTCTCGACATGCAGAGTTTCTTTAACAATGTTTAAGCATGCACACATTCATATGAAGTGTGTGTGGCCGCTGTTGTCGGCTATGGTGTGCTGTGTATTGTTGTCTGACATGTACGACGGCGCTGTGGAGATGAATAAAGTCTAACAGCTGTTCTTCTACACGGTGCAGCAGGACAGTGGCAGCGCTGCACTTCACACTTACTTTACTGCTCATCCAGTGTGGATGTGAAAATAAATGAAAGGCCTCATAGTCATTGTTTCATCTCAGTTTCAGAGCCAACGTTGTAAAAACAATATAAAATACAAATTCACCATCATAATTGACATTTGGTTATTTAGATCAGATTTCATCAAGCTGCTGCACAAAGGTGCCCGTGTTTGTCTTCCAGGTTGGACTTTTTGGGCAAAGTATCACATGAGTGGGAGATTTTTTAAATAGCCAACCGAGAAAGCTCATCCTCCACCCACTGCTGTGAACCCTACAGGACCATATAAGGCAAAACACCGGCTCTCTAAAAAAAAAGCAGCTGTCAGCATTACACAATTAACAGGCTAATCGTATCACAAGCCAGCGGTAAGATGGACATTTGAATCAAGACAAAAAAAGTGTCCATTACGGTTCTGCCTGAAGAATAAAGCTCAGCACCGCTCTATGAGAACCAGACAGGTGTTAGAGCAGAACAAGGAGCAGAGCTCCTGGTGCACGATGTGGGCGACGAGCGACATCTAGTGGACAGACTGGGTGCTCAAATTAGTTTGAAGTACTTTTAAGTCAAATCATATATTTTAGTTTTAAAATATACCATAAGTTATTATTATAATATTATTTTTTTCTCTTGTTCTTTTATTATCTATTGTTTGTACTTTACTGTCTGATAAACCTATTTTTTGTATCTCTGTATAATGTTAATATATTTAAATGAATACAAATTTAAATGACAAAAACAAAAAACCCATTTGTACGTTGAATAGAGATGTCTTTCAGTCTAAGATTGAGTTTCTTTAATGACTGAATTTAATAACTCATTTCCACTCACCGCATCATATTTCAGGAAGAAGTCGTCCGGCTTGTCTTCGACTCGGTCTGGGTCTGCGCGGACCTCCACCATGGGGTTGAGGTTCTGCCCTCGCTCCAGAGAGGCCAGGGCTCGATTCTGACCCCGAGCTGTCACCGGAACCAGGAACTGAGCTCGACACGACTCCTCCGTCACCTGGTGGGCCATAGCAGGGTGAGGATTGTGCTGGATGATTTTTACATTGTGCATTCGGGGGAACATTTTCCTCCATTGGAAATTCTACATTTCCATTATTTGAAAATATGTATATTTTTCAAAGATTACACAGGTTCACAGAGCAAATACATGCATGCTGTGGAATAAATGTTCACCTCAAAACGTGATATGAAGCCAGAATTAAGCTGTTATTTTAATGTTACCACAACAAACAACGCAAACTAGCTGGTTTGTTTCTTTACTGAAAGTAAAAATCATTACTTTGCCACCGGCCCCATCTAGTGGACATACAGTACACATACAGCACAACAAAGACTGGCCATTTACTCTTTCATTATTTCTACGGGATATGACTATATCGTAAAGATGTTTAGTTGATATCTGAAAACAAAGATTTCTACATTTAAACTAAAGCCCAAGTCAACTGTGTAGGCGACAGTGACCTCTGATGAGTATGTGTGAGCATGGGTACCTTTTCATGATCCAGCAAAGTGAGTCCTTTAACTCCAGCCAGGATTAAGTTCTTGGCCACTTCAGCCCCCAGACCACCTAAACCAGCCAGGAGCACCCGGGACCCTCGTAATCTGTATAAAAATAATTTAAAAAAACATGCAGAGCATATCATGATGATGAAAATTTAGATTTTGTGCGCTACGGGTTTGTAACAAATTAGTTGAATGACCTGCACTATTTGAACTGCATGTCTTGTTAAAAAAAAAAGAAACGTTGCACTAGAGATGCTTAAATAAATGCGGAGAGACAACTTCATCAACAACATACCGGTAAACCAAGATGAACTACTATTATAAGAATATATAACAATATGATCAGAGTTTATGAAGAAACAATCTTCGACTGAAATTTAAGTCTGATTTAAGGGTTTGTCGGAGCATTACAAGTACTGTTCTCTCCACATTACCTAATGTTCCAGAGTCCTGTGTACATACATGTTATAAATAAGTAGCGTGTATGTTAAAGCTTGCCTGGGTCCAGACCTTTAAATCCGCAAATCATTTTACACAACAAATCATTTTACATATATGGCATGCCCTCTCAATATGGCCCGACATCATAGGCTCGTTCTCTCTCTCTTAACTCCCTACGCTCAGACTGAGTCAGAGTGAAGATGGAGGGTAACAAACTGTAGTTCTGTCTGGTATCAGACAATGATAAGGCATTAGGACATTTGAAACTGATATCCAGGCTGTTATTACAGGACAACTATGTGTATGGACAACAGTGGTGGAATGTCACTAAGTACAAGTATTCAAGCACTGTACTGAAGTACAGTGCTTGAATACTTGTACTTTTCTTTTCATGCCACTTTATACTTCTATGCCACTACATCTCTGAGGGAAATATTGTACTTTTAACTGCACTGCAATTATCTGTTAGCTTTAGTTACTTTACAAATTAAGATTTTTGCCCACAAAACTTATGATGAAAAATATGACGTTTCGTTCTAAATCAAAATAACCAAAAGTAACTGATTTTACAATAATGCATGAATGACATGTTTCTGCTTTGGCTATACTTTCAATCATTTAGGTACATTTTGCTGATTATACTGATGTACTTTTACATATTACTAATTTTCATTGCAACACTTTTACTTGCAGTGGAGTATTTTTAGAGTGAGGTATTACAACTTAGTTACGTAATTAATTGAGGACTTTAACTTGAAATGGGACTATTTCTTTCTGATGGACAATGCAAAGATGCGGACCTATACAAGTATCGATAATGAATACTCCCCCCACTGCCTACTCAAATAAGTACTAGGTCCCCGACGTCCGCAACGTTTGGTCAGAACCGAGCAGGAGTGCAACACCTCAAACCTTCCGCTGCACCGATTAGCCTGTCGAGCTAAGTGAGCTAACTGACCTCTTCTGGGCATCCAGCCCCCACAAGCGGATCTGGCGGTCGTACTGTGCCGCCTCCTCCTCGCTGATGACCGGGTCCTCCTTCTCGAACATATCGATCATTTTGGATCACTCTAAAGACGGGGATAACGGTGAAAAAGAGCCGTTTTCAGTGCAGCTACAGATGCGGTTGTTTCAAATGCAACGGCAGTCCCGCTGAATGGGCGCTGAATGATGACGTCGCCCGACCGAAACAATAGATGTGTTTTCACCGTTTTCTCGCATTTATATGTAATAATTTATGTAATTTCTCGATTTGTTTGTTGTAGTACTTTCCATTCGGTTTTATATCAGACATTTCTTCATCGTCATGTTAGTTTTTAAGTTTATATTTGTGTGTAATTCTCATTTAACTATTAAAAATAGCAACTCAAATATTTCATCACCGTTACTGGCGTGTAATAAAAAATAAAATATGCATCAACCAGTAAGCAACGTAACTTTAAACCAGTAACTATTGTTCTATATTTGGTTTTACCTTTATCACACACCGGCAGTTCAACAAGCTGACAGGGCTTATAATGGGTTAATTTCCCCTCAGTGTAGTCTTCTACGAACATTTTCACAGCTATTTTCAAAAAGACTAAGAAAAGCTATTTTACGTGAGTGCTGACCAGACAGCCGCACTTTATATTCTACAGATGCCTGAACAGAGCCCTGCCTTGGCCTCCAGGATACATCTCTATGTTTACCATCGCATCAGGTGGAACTTACTATTACACATTTGCTCAACCTAAAATTGTTTCTCCAAAGTTCCCCTTCCCTGGCATGCCATAAAACCATTACTGTAACTACACCATTTCACAAGACGGGTACCGAATTTCTTGTGAGACTGAGGTGCACTGTGCTAATTTGTGTTATTGGAGTGAATATTAGAGTGAATATTAACGTGAATATTAGTTGAATTGTTTGAATACTGCACCGCTAAAGCATCACTGGAAATAATGAGAACATTATCCGAAGTACAATTATTACAAAATGTTGAGACCACCAAGTTTCATGTTATTTATTGTCCGATGCACTGCAATTACAGAGAAGCAGTCTTTGGCAATTTAATTCCTGGAATGCTCAAACAAATATGTATAATAATAAGAAAAAAACATGTAGGTAAAAATGAGAATATAAGACATGAAGTAGTGCAGAAGTTAAAAAATAGAGATGAAATATAACGTGGAAAATGTAAAATAAAATTGTATCTGTGGTAAACAGGTAATTGTAAATGTATTAAAAGAGAGAATGAACTGTAATGTAAACAGGAATGTAGCAAATTAATGCTTAATGAGAAGTAATACATATGTGTACACACAGGTGTAAACAGGTAGTACAACAGTAAGTACATGTATACGAAGGTAAAGTGACAATATACAAGTAAACGACAATATGAAGGTAAATGCCTGATTAAACTTTAATTAAATATGAACGTTAATTAAATAGTTAAACATTCTATAATCACTATTTGCTCTGCAAGTACACCTGCGAGTCAAGCTCGGAGGCATATTTTTCCCTTTAATAATCCCCATTCGGCAATTTCCGCGAGGAGCGTACAAGAACGTTATTCGTCATGACGTCATTCTCGGAGAAAACCCGCCTCTTTCTCTTAAGAGAAGACAGACGGCCATTTTAAGTTTATCAGTCGTCATTTCACATCGCTACTGTAGGACGGAGAACGTCAGGACTCAATTTCATCATATTTCTCTTACAACTGTAGTGGAGAATTGCCTACTATGAACTGAAACTCTTCCTTAAAACCAAAAACAAGTAGATCCTAGTGAAGTGACGCATAAGCCAGTAGATTCCAGTGTCGAGTTGTAATTTTTTTGCACCTCAATGTAGCTAGAGGAAATGGCTGTGGAAAGCATGACTGTCCATCCAAACTCCCCAACTACCAACCACGAACACAACAGTCTCCTGACTGACGAAAGGTCGAGTAATTCTACAATCATATTTATATGAAATTATTTATTTGTCCTGTGCTTTTACACAAAAAGCCCGGGGTTTCTTTTTCCTTTTTCTGTCAGAGGGATTAAACTCGCCTTTTCTGGAAAACGAGTACAGAGGTAAAGAACGCCATGTTGACACGACACCGCCAACTGGGAGGCCAGACCTCACCCGGGATAACGTTATTCCCTGTATTTTATTACTCAATCAACGGTCAATCGACTCCAGACAACGTGTATGAAGAAAGAAAGCCGAGGTTGAAAGAGCTGATTCATAATAACTTCACCGCCATTCTATCCAACTCAACGATTCCAAAGCATCGCTTAATTACGTTCCCATTGTTAAACAGTGAACTCATTTGCTTTAATTCAATTAATTGTGTGTGTGTGGTCACAGTAACTGTTATCCCACAGATCCCCAAAAAATCCGAGCGATAGTCTTTTGCTAACGAAGGGCCTATTTCAAGCTAATTTAGCAACATTAGCTTGTTGGCTAACGTTACAATCGTTGGCACAAGAGAGTCAGGCTAAGCTAACGGCTAATGTGTTTAGTTAATTGTAATTCCACATTGACTTTTCAAACCGCTCCATCGAAATAAACGTCGCGTTAACTAATACCTTGAGATCAACTTCGTGTATGTTAACCGATCAGTATGGGCTATTAAATATCTTATAATCCGTTCAGACTTCTTCGTTCAGTTGGTGTAAACGTAAAGCTAACTGTTAGCTAACGCGAAGCTACTTCTCGATCAAGTAGCTCTACGCACTTAAAAATAGCTCTCGAGTCGTCGCCTTCCTAGATTCATATCGCTCGTAGGAAACATTTCTTCAGTCCCGGTTGACCTTTAATAATTGGGATTCGCACCCTCTCAAGTATCAAACGCTAAATATCCTCTAAATATTAGTTTTTGAAAGGTACGTTATCGACTAATCAGTTTTGTAGCCTGTTAGCTTACTTTAGCTAGCTTTTTCTCAACGCGTTTGTGCTGCCTGCTGTCATGGATGTTTGTCTAACACATCACTTTTATTCACAGTCGTGCCCACACTGAGTCGTCCCAAACATCCACCAAAGTCCCCCCAAAAATGTGTAAAACGTCTGCAAAGCATCCCAGAAGTGTTTCAAGTCAAACACAAAGTTCCCTTTTTTTGTCTCCCCGGTCCCCAGTTGGCAAATGTGCTGCATGTTAACTCAGTTGGCCCCACAAACCCCACTAGTGTCCCTAAAAGGTTCGAGAGCAAAAAAAACCCAAAGCGTTTTCAATGTTTTTGAGTGCAATATGTGAAGAAACCCAGTCACAGTAAGTATTCCCCATTTTAATCATGGCCCCTTGCTTCTAGTATGAGTTATAGGCTCATCCATTGAGCTAATAATGTACCATATTGCATGGTAAATCCTGTGATTCAACCATCCCTAATAGACTAGAGTGATCTTGTGCTTTGTTGAACTTTTAGAACTTCACAGTTGTTTGCTAGTTGGGTGTGGTCAGAGATGTTGCTATCAGTTTGGTATAGTGTCAATGGACATAAATGGAAACTTTTTATTCGTTAATATGGATGAAATACCTGGATCTTGCTGCACTTAGTTGTCAGCAGTACATGGTTACTTGTGTAGGGTCTAATCAATAACAATTATTCCTCTCGCAGATCGGTGGATTTGCGGTCCCACTAACCTGACCTGGTAATCACTTTGGCTGAGCATAGAGAAGTCGAGATGGAGTTTGTTTGCATTGCAAGATTTTTTCCTGAAATTGGCACATTGTTGGCAGCAGGTGATGTTTGCACAGCATCTCAACAGGCCAGATAGGCCACCAACGTCTGTAGTGGATCCCAGCCACTCCCTACTCATTAGTACTTGCTTCCATAGTACAGTAAAATCCCTGTGCTATGACAGAGGCCTGAACTGTGACCGCTCCATGTGACTGACTCCTCGACGGGTCTTTGATTAACGGGCCAGCTTCACGGCACACACTGATTTAGTGAGGTCGAGGAGTGACTTGGCGGTGGGAGATGATGTTCCTAAGTTTGCGGCGTTTGGATTCAAAGCTGGTAGCTGGTGCAGGACAAGGAACACGTTGGAGTTTAGCAAAGCTAAGCAAAAACGTGTCAATGTTAAAGTATTTTGAGTAAACATGCAGATATTGAGCCAATAATGACTGAAAACACCACACAATCTGTGTATATTTATATTTTAGGAGCTACTTTGCATACAGTGACGGTAAAGATGCTAAAAGTAGCTGAGGATTCGATTTTCGAATGACCCCCGAATATGAAGAAATATGTTAGTTCTAGATTGTGTTCTGTAACACACAGCAGAGTTAAATTACCTGGATAACTTTGCTGCGAAAATCACGCAACTCCCTCAAGATCTTTTCCGTACGACTGTCTTGCTCCGCAGATGAGCATTTTGTTCGCGACAGAGAGCTGAGGCGCATGTTATTAAGGCTGATTATTGCCCTATCTCCCCAGAGGAAGTTGGCATGCTGAGGATGTGGTGGGGTGCAGTGTGTACACACAGTGAAGCTGACATTTTGCCTCAAAGCTGCCACCTGCTTTGTGTCCTTCCTTCACCGTGTGCTCGTTGATGGATTTTCGTTTTCAGGATATTGTAATGCGGTGGATCCTGTTCACATCGCTCCAGGCCTCAGGCCTCCCTCCCAGCCTGCTGCAGACAGCACTCTGGGTGGGCCTATGTGGGAGAGCCAGGACCTGACTGCTCCGACAGAGAGTGTTAAACACTTCGTCATTAATATGTGATCCCTGTCCTTGCCTGTTGCATAAATAATATCACACCCGTGCCACCGGAAAAAGCAGAAAAAACACTGACCAAGTCAAGAATATGGTCAATAGGTGGTTGTGATCTGGTGCTTGGATTACAAATGGTGGCTGGTAGGGAAAGAAACAGTACATGCTAATCATTTGTATTAGTTTAATGTAAAAAAACATTAGTGCTTTTGGATTTAATAGCAGCTTTAGCTTGTTAAAACAACATCTCCGTCTCTCCCCCCCCCCCAAAACTCAACTCGCCCACAGCAACCAGTCTCTGCAGGATCAGGCCTACATGTGATCCATGTCAATTAGGAACTCATGGTCCTGCCCTGGCAGTTGACCACAGTAACAGCGCATTAGTCATTTCCTGTCCATCCCACCAGTACTGCAGTAGAACTGGGACCCCCTCAGCCTCGGACATTTTGGTGGATTTGACCTAATGCGTGTGTGTGTGTGTGTGTGTGTGTGGTGGCGGCGGTGGTGCTTCAGAACCGTATGCCAGAAGGATCGTATGTTCACACTATAAAACGGATATTACACGTGACCTGACATGATGGCGTGTGCAGCTAGAAAATTTAAATGATGCGGTTAAGTCCAATTAGAATGGTGATTTTTTAAATTTTATTTTGCCAATAGTGGTTTTCTACATTTTGAATGCATGTGTAGCAGTGCCACGTGTGCATTATTTAGTGTATTTAATCTGCGGCAGCTTGTTTAGCTGGTGACATTAACAATCGGGTGTGTTTGTCAAACTGAAGGTATTCATTATAATCACACTGCATGTTCCTTATGCTGACGTGGATGTTTCTGTACTAGTAAGATAACGTACACTCGGTGTATGCAGCGTTCACCTGGCGTGTGTCTTGAGTGGTAAGTTTTAGGAGAGTCCCATGTTCACTGCAGGCATTTAGTTATGAGCATATTTCTAAGTGGATTCATATGTGAAGCAATGGCTTCATCAGTAGTATAAACAGGTGAACATCTGGGAGAAATAGCGGTGATGTGTGTAATTATATATATATTATATATATATATATATTATATCACTAGCAGTCACAGGCACTTAAAAAGACAGACTTGCATTTTTTAACTAAAAGCGACGTGTATCACCAATCGTAGCACACTGTATTAGTTTTAAAAAGCAGATAGCTCGTAGTGCTGTTTAGAACAAGAAGTCTTCAGGGCAGTAGGTGCTGCAAGGACAATATTCAAAGCGTTCCAAGTGGACCCAAGGCCACAAATGTAACAGTTTAAAAGCTGTTTTTCAAATTACTGATGTGTTTCAGCCCGAATTATGCCTCAGGGTCTCAGTCAGCTGTTAGATGCTAAGCGGGTTCTCGATTCCTCTGAAATAAATTACTTAAGTTAACCCTGGTTTGACTCACAAAAATGGAAATGTTGCAACTTTAACATGGGTGCTGGAACACTACGAATCCTTAAAGTGTAATAGTACCTAATGTCAACCGCACTAAGCCTCTGTACTCCTTTTTCATCCGCGACCGCTGAAAACAAACTATTAAAAATACATTGTTTTTATATTTCTTTTCATATCTTTTTAAAAAAATGGTTCCCAAAACTTCTAAGAAGTTGGGAGGGTGAGCCACAGCCCACGAGAATATGGCATATGTAACGCCCCCCTCTGTGTGTTTACAGGCCAGAGGATGGAGAGCTGGAGGAGGGCGAGCTTGAGGATGACGGGGGAGAAGTGGAGGAGGAGGACATTGGTGGAGGTATGTCCACAACAGCAGCAGCAGCAGCAGCAGCAGCAGCAGCAGCAGTAGTAGTAGCAGCACCAGGAGGAGGAGGAGGAGCAGGAGGAGGAGGAGGAGGAGGAGGAGATGGCGGTGATGAAGCAGGCGGAGGAGGTGAAGCCGGAGGGGACGCAGCCCAGCGAAGCAAGGAGCGCCACGCCAGCAGCAATTCGGATGAAGAGAGATCCCACCGTCGCAAGAGGAAGAGGAAGAAAGAGAGGGAGCGAGAGAGGGAGAAGAGGAGGTCCAAGAAGAAACGCAAATCCAAACACAAAGTACGATTGTCGACGAGTAGAGAACTGAGATAGACCCGTCTTTTTATTTCAACTTTATTCCCTGATTATCTCTATATTCTTTCTCCCCTCCTCTCTCAGCGTCATGCGTCCTCCGATGACGAACACTCCGACTTCAGCGACGACTCTGACTACAGTCCCAGTGAGAAGAGGAAGTACAGAGAGTACAGTCCACAGTACCCCCCCCCACCTGTAAGTCAACAGAACTATTCATTGCTGAATGTATCTCATTCAAATGCTTTTTTAAGTAAATATCAGTATTCCTGATAAGTCAATATTCAATAAAGTTTCGTGCGAAGTAAAATCTGCTAACACGTTAACTTGTCTCCAGTCCCACGGGGGCTACGGCGGCTCAAAGAAGGGCAGCTACATGAAGGTGGACAAGCAGAGCTACGGAGGCTACGAAGAGTTCGAAGAGGACAACTTCGAGGGGGAGGAAGAGGAGGACATCGGGGACGAGGACTACGACGACTTCACCAAGGAGCTCAACCAGTACCGCAAGGCCAAGGAGGGAGGAGGCGGCCGTGGACGAGGTGGGTCCTCGGCGGTCGGATCAAAGCTGTTGGAGTTGAAAAATCGGCTTCTGCACGGTAAATATTTGCCCAGTTGAAATTGAATCCAATTTTCAGTGAGTGTGTGAGGCCAGATGTGGTGGAGAGGCCCTGAACTACATTTATGAAAATGTGTAGTCCAAAATAATGTGCCACTGTGTGACAAAAGCTCAGTAGCAGATTTCGCACTGCCTTTCTGTTTTATTTACTCGCTACTCAGTTTCATTTGCACGTTTATGGACAAGACAAAGGAGCTTATTTGCAGAAAAGCTTCTTATCAATTCAAATTCCACAGATAAGTCGCTGACCTGTTTCATTTTGTCCTTTGTCTCCACCTCTCTGCAGGTGGCAAAGGTCGCATGAAGAACCAGAGAGGCCGTGGGGGAATGAGGGGAGGGAGGAGGGGAAGAGGAGGAGGAGGCCGAGGAAGAGGAGGCCGAGGTGGTGGTGGAGGAGGTGGTGGAGGAGGAGGAGGAGGAGGAGGAGGTGGTGGTGGTGGTGGTGGTGGTGGAGGAGGAGGAAAGATGGGAGGAGACAACGACGATGGAGACGGCTACGGGGAAGAGATGGAGGTGAGTTTTGGAGTTCAGGATGGGACCTGTTGTCTATTTGCTTTGCTCAAAGTCCAGGAAACAAGTTGTTTTGTGTATTTGCACAGTTGGTTAAATATATTTCACATGGAAGCATTCCAGTGAACAAAAGAGCACTTGGAGCCAATGATTTCTTTCATCTTTACATGAGAAAGTAGTTCATTCTGTGTTCGACAAACATGGAACGGTCTGTACTGAATGTGGATCATCTCCTTTTACTGTGCAGCATTTTACCAATCAAGCCTGGTGGTGGTTTTAGGAAGAGTGATGGGAAAATACTAATACATGAAAACGAATTTGAAGGCCCTGTCACCACTCTGCACTATTGCTGTGTTCTCTTTTCCCAAACCAAACTTAGAGTACAAGTTATTATGTTTCCCAGCTCCACTCTTTGGTCACAATGTCTCAGAACTGAAGCCGTTATGTCCAGCTATGCTCTCTTCACAGCCACCTGACTCCTTTCACAAAAACAAATACTCTCCAAAGACGGAGGTTGCTGATCTACCGCTGCCTCCATTGATTTGTTTTCTTTGTGTTATTGCGTGACTGTTCGGATTCACCGGTAGACCAGCAACTGCCGTGTTCTGCGAGGTATAGTTACTGTATTCGTCAATGGAGTCTGGTGGCTTTGAAGCGATTATAGATAACGGATTCAGTTCCTCGTAACAACTAACAGTCTGATGGCAGGTAATAATAATAATAATCTCATACGAGCCACTTCAAATACTATCCCTTTAAATATGTGACACTTGACACATGAAATCTGTTCTTACAGTTTGGAGAAGATGACTATGACAACATGGGCGGCGACGATGACTACGATGACTACTCAAAAGAACTCAATCAGTACAAGAAGTCCAAAGACAGAGGCAGAGGTGAGTTTGGAGCTTCGGTAGTTGTTCATGTTTGTGTGTGTTTTTCATCTTTACTTTTCCTGAAGAAAAGGTTCATTTGGTTCAGTTCCCTTTAGAGCAAGCACAGGCTTACAGTCCCTCTCACGCTGTCTTCAATCTCTTCACCAGGGCTTAAAGGTGGGCGCGGCCGAGGGAGAGGTAAAGGAGGACGGGGTATGATGAGAGGAGGAAGGGGTCGTAACCGCGGGAGAGGAAGAGGCGACATGGGCAACGACGACGACAACAACGGGGACATGGACAACGGGGTGAGGCTTTTGTACTGATGTCAGATCAGCCCAAAGTGTCTTGATTCAAAGTGGGTCAATGCAAATGTCTGCTTCACTCCAGCCTGGTGCCCCCAGGACTACTTCCTTTATAGTGATGAGACCTGAGGAGTAAAACTACATTCATCTTCTCTTTCTTACTCATTGCTTCACACTCTGCTTCCTCCGTGTGTGTGTGTGTGTGTGTGTGTGTGTGTGTGTGTGTGTGTGTGTGTTAGGACGGAGGTGGTGGAGGCGATGGACCAGGACCAGGGAGGAGGAACATGAACGAGAAGCACCAGGATAAGAAAGGAAAGGCCATCTGCAAGTACTACATCGAGGGACGATGCACCTGGGTACGATCACTTTGTTTTTGGTTTTATGTGTGTGTGTGCTGGCTGTGTTACAATGTATTTTTGTCATTCAAGTTATGTATTTCCTGTTCTTAATACACTTCAGTTGTTTTTTTTAAACAGCCCATGATCATTAGAAATTCACAGCAAATTCAGAAAATATGTAGTTTTATCACAAAGTCCTGATTTTGATACCCAATCACATTGTGGATTTGTCTCTGGTGTTTATCAAGGTCTTGGTCTCTTGATTTGGTATTTTGGAGGGATTTCTGATCATTTACATTTTTTCTTGAGTATGAAAATTGTTTGTAATTTAGGACCAAATTTGTGTAACAAATGGTATCAACCCAAAAGCTGGAACAGCTTAAGAGACATAATATAGCATGAACTGGCCATAATTTACTTCCACCATAGTGAAGCCCTTTTACACAATTTATTTAAATTAATATTTATTTTGATTTATGACTGAAACAACTTCACACACTAATTTGAGCTCAAATGTATCTGGGCTCCCAGCTTTCAGATGATGTACACCACTTCTATGTAGCGTGTACTGTTGACCTGCTATCTTCCTGTGTGGGTCTCTTCGAGTTAAAACAGCTACATGTGTTTAAAATCTGGTTACACTCGGATGATTCTCAAAGGAAACTTGGCACCTGTGAGCTGTAGAAAGATAAAGAGGCCATGAATAAGTTTAGGGTGATTAAACACCGTGCAGGTACCATTTAGTAACACGCAACAAATCACATGATGGACAGATTTATTCCGTCCTTCCTGGTCTATAAGTCATCCGTTGGCAGCTCTTTCAGACACGTCAGTCATGAGCCCTCAGGTTTCATTCTTGCCTTTTCTTTTCTTCCACCACCAGGGGGACCACTGCAACTTCAGCCACGACATCGAGCTGCCCAAGAAGAAGGAGCTGTGCAAGTTCTACATCACTGGATTTTGTGCCCGAGCAGACCACTGTCCTTACATGCATGATATCCTTCACATTTGACCACACAGAGAGACTCTTCATTACCACGTGGGATTTATGGGGGTATTAAAGCTGACAATTTGTTACCGCGGAATTATGAATCCGACTGCTTGTCTTGGCAAGACCCGCCCTGCGTAGCTCGTAAAAGGAGAGCCGATTGTTTAAGCATTGACTTCGAGTAGTTAGGGTCAGGATAGCCATAGGCGAGCATGGACGCCCGGTCAATCCTAGCGCTTGAATGCTTCACAGGGCATCCAGAAGTTTGTGTTTTCTGTCTAGTTTTCTCCTTTGAGTGTTCCTCCTTGACTCCAGTGCCACGTGAATTCCCCTGTAAGCTGTTCCACACCACGGGGAACTGCGTCAACGGCGACGAATGCATGTTTTCCCACGACGCCCTTAACGATGACACGCAGGACCTGCTCAACAAGGTAGGACCCTCGATATAACAGCGCTATTTTCTGTGAGCTCAGTGGATCTTTGAAAGGTCTGAAAAATATGTTTTTGTTCCTATCATATGTACGTCCAGCTCCTTTAAACGTCTTTTGTTTTCATGAATACCTTGAGAGAATATTTCCGATAAACTCACAGGTGGAGATCTTTGTTTTCTAGATGCTGGCAGAGGATGCAGAGGCCGGCGCTGAGGACGAGAAGGAGGTGGAGGAGCTGAAGAAGCAGGGGATCAACCCTCTCCCCAAACCCCCTCCTGGAGTCGGCCTCCTCCCCACCCCTCCTCGGCCAGTCCCCTTAGACTCCAACCTAGGGCCTGGGGATTTTGGCGGACCTGCGGTGGGTGACTTTGGGGGTCCTCCTGGACCTAACCAGGGGCCCATTTCCAACAAAGGTCCCCCTGGCCCTGGTCCTGGGGGACCTTTGCCTCACCCCTGTGCTGGTCCCCCTGTCCATGGGCCCGACGGAAGTCCATTCCAAGGCGGGCCCCCAAATCCCACTGGCCCCCCCCCCCCACATGGGCCCCCCACCTCCATGTGGCGGAGGGGGAGGTTCCGCAGGGAAGAAGATCCCCTCGCTCTTTGACCTTAAAGTGAAGCCGACGGGACAGCTGGCTCATAAACTGGCCGTCAGGTAAGAAACCCGAAAAGAAACATTAAGAATAAAAGTGATTCTTTTTATATTTACATTTGTAGAAAACACAGCTGCTGATCTTATTAAAGAGTGCAGCAGTCAAATTCAAGTCGGTCAAGTTCTCATGTGTAGCTCAATAAAGGAAAACTCCGCGGAGACTCGATCTTTGGAATAACAAGTAGGATTGAGACGGGTCTCTGAACATGGTTTAGCTATGGCAGCAGTTAAAAGCTCTAGAGCCTACAGGCAGCGAGTGTTTGTTAAGAAACAGCCAAAGTTATGTCCTGAAAGTTCCCCCTTCCTTAAGCACCCCACACTGCATATTTAAAGTCACACATGACCACTATGACTAGTCAACCGCTGTACACAGCGCCCCCAGCTGCATATCTGCTGTAGCTGCACTGCCACTGCTTTATTACTGCCCTGTTCTAAAACCACAGAGCAACGGCCAGTCCACAGCGCTGCACAGTGTGGACTAGTGGTTTTGATAGTGGACTATTCTGTGAAACCCATGTTCAGATCCATAGCACTACCGAACAACTCTCTGAAGAGTAAGCAAGTGTGAAACAAGAAAAAGGGAAAATGACTTCTGATGTAATGAAAACCACAGAATGGGACCAGGACCAGTAGATAGTGAGATAAAGTGACCAGACATGTGATTTACTCACTCAAACAAAGTGGATTTAGTGGCAAGTTACTCTTGAACTCTTCCTGATTTCACCCTGCAAAGTGTCTTTGAAGCTCTGTGAATCTTAACTCCTCCTCTCCTTCATCTATCAGAGGCCAGACTCCCAGTGGCAACCAGGGCCAGACGGCCCCACCCCAAGGTGCCCCTGGTGGCCCCCCGCCCTGCTTCCCTCCCCCCCCGGGGATGATGCCCCCTGACATGCAGAACATGGGCCCCAACCTCGGGATGAACCAGGGGCCCCCCAACATGGGCCCCGGTGGACCGCCCATGATGGGAGGATTCGGGTCTGGTGACGGCCCTCCACATGGAGGGGCCATGCCTCCAGGTCCTCCTCCGGGAGGAAACTTCTTTAATAACTTCTTCAATCAGCAGGACGGTATGCAGATGGAGGGAGTGGTGCAAGAAGGTGAGAGTCAATTCCACTCATCAAACTGAACGATTGAAGCCTGAGTAGCAAGTGGGCTTTTGGTGCAGCCAGTTGATTGATACTTAGTGTTTTTTCTACTGGTTGCAAAGTTAAGCCCAAGGGGAAAAAAACTCACTAATACCCACAAACATCTGGCTGTTGACGTCAGATGTTTCCCGGCGCAATGCTATAAGACGCACATTACAGTGAATTTAAAATAAGATGAACAGGAATTTAATATTCATTTATTATTGTAGAAAAACATACAATTAATAAACTCTCCTCAACACCACCAGAGTCCAGTCAGACGAGTCATTTCACCTCGCTGATTTCATTCTAACTCGACAGAAACGCAAGAAACATCAGAACCGTCTTGCCACTCTTCCAACAATCACCAACTCCGGTTTTTGGAGGAAATAAACATTAATTCGCTGAGTTAGATGGGAAGAGAAATAGCCGGTATGTGGTCTCCTCAAAGCTACCGGACTCCATTGACAGAAAGTCCTTTTACATCGCTGATTCGTTGTCATTCAGACTTGACAAACAAAATAAAACTTTGTTAGTGTTTCCACTGTTCTATCAATCACCAACTCTGGTTTGAGAGTTTGCAAGAGAGAGTGAATAAGTAACAGATAGAAAAAAGACCTTACACAATGGGAAAGGAAAGCATGGCCTGCTTTTAGCAGGTTATGTGCCAACTTAAAGAAATCCTGCATATATGAGCTCATTTCGGTGGAAATGTGGTATTACTGTTTCTGCACTGACACCCTGCTGTTCCCTCTCAGGTGACAACTACCAGGGTTTTGCTGGCATGGACGAGAGAGGGGGAAATGTTGGAAATCAGTCAGGCGGCCCAGACGGCTCTGCTAATGGAGCATCAGCCAATCAGGGAGGGATGTCCGTGCCCGACTTCCTGCCTCCAGCGCAGCGCGTCCTGTTCATGAGGATCCAACAGAAGCAGCAGGAAGAAGAGGAGAGAGCTCGCAGGATGGCCGAGGGAGGAGCAGAGAAGAGCAGAGACACTGAAGGTAGAGGATGATCTGCACCTCCTGGTGTGTTAATGAGTCATTCCTTTGTAATAGGGAGTTGTAGTCCTTAAAAATGGCCCTTATCATAATTATCTCCTAAAACATATTTATTGTCAGTAGTTATAGACCAACTTTATTATTAGAAGTTAAAAAATACAATTTAAGATTCGTATTTATACGATTATTGTCTATAGAACCTTAAACAGGTGCCACGTGTAGGATTTGGTGGCTTCTAGCAGTGAAGTTGCAGATTGCAACCTGCTGAAGCGTCTTCCATGCGCCCAGCGTGGAGGTGAACTACAGTGGCCGCTGCTAAAACCCAAATGGCCCTATTTAGATCCAATCTTTAGTTTGTCCATTCTGGGCTTCTGTAGAAACCTGGCTGCGGGTGCCGTGAAGAGGACCCGCTCCGTATGTAGATATAAACGGCTCGCTCTAACGGACACACGATTGTTATTCTCAGGTTATTATACAAGAAGAAAAAAAACAAATATTATATTCCAAGTCTGCAAATGGATCAGCTGTCACTTTAAAAAAAACGAATCTATTCAAATATCAATTTCTGTGCATGATGTCCATGACACTGTCCTAACGGACTATTTATTCCAGTTGCTCGCTTTGAAAGCACTGAGATGGACGAGGAACGGCTGACTGGTGAAGTTCTTGTTGACTTTTGTTAATTCAGTGTTGTAGTGGATAATGTTCAGACGTAGCTGTGAATACAATAAGCAGAAAAGTTCATCTTTGCACTGCACAATGTGAAAGTGAGTTCCACTCTCCCTGCTGATTGGTCGCTTTCCGACCTTCTCAAAAGTCAACAGAAACCTCAAATATGACGCCTTCAATTATTCAAGTTAATCAAATGTGTGTGTGTTCTAAAGAATATCTATTTAACACCCAAACATGTGCGTCCTTCTTTCTTAGGTGACTCAGGGAACTGGTACTCCAGTGAGGATGAGGATGGCGGCGGTAGCGTGACCTCCATCTTGAAGACGCTCCGTCAGCAGACCCAGACTCCCCATAAATCCGACGGCCCCCCGAGCGACCCCCGCCTACAGAAGGCCTCTCCCGCCAGTGTTCCGGCTCGGCCGGCGGACCCCCGCTTGGCTCGGGACCGTCGCCTGGCGCGCGCCACAGACTCGGCCGACTCCATGCCCACTCTGGCCTCCTCCGGACCGCCTGCGGACCCCAGGTTGGCCCGGCTAGCTGCTGCCGTTTCGTCGGGACCCACCTCCCACTCGCCTCCCGCTCTCAAACCAGAGCCGCCTCTGGTCTACAAGCCCCCACCGCTCACGACCCCGGCAGTTGAGGAGGAGGAGACGGAGCGGGTTCTACGGGACAAGCCGGTGCCGATTCCTCTGGACCCGCTCATGGGCATGGCTCTGAGAGACCCGCGCTCGCAGCTGCAGCAGTTCAGCCACATCAAGAAGGATATCCTTCTCCACATGCCGGCCTTCAGCAAAACCATCACCTGGTCGCCCGAGGATCTCCTCCCTCTACCACTCCCCAAGCAGGACCTCCTTCCACTCCCACCAGGCATCCCTCCCGTCTCCTCCATAGACCCGCGTCTGTCCCGCACTCAGCAGCCACTCCCAACGTCGCTCCCTCACCCGCAACCCCCTCCCGTTCAGCCCCCTCCCCCCTCCTTGGACCGCCCTGCTCCCTCTTCTTCCTCCTCCTCCTCTTCCTCTCTCCCAGATTTTGAACTGCTGTCTCGTATTTTGAAGACTGTCAACTCCAGCCCGTCCCAGACTCCCTCCCCTCCTCTCCTACCCACCCCTATCGCCCCCATGTCGCTGCTGGGTCCGCCTCCCCCCATGCCTCCCCCGCCTGTAGAAAAGCCCGTTGACCCCCGTGTGTCCCGTAAAGGCCTCACCGACCCCCGTCTCCAGCCGCAGAAGTCAGCACTGAAGCAACCCTCTGACCCCGTGCCTCCTCCTGTCTCCTCTACTACCCCGGCGACCACATCCAGCTCCCCCCCCCCCACCATTGCCCCCTACGACCCACGGTTGCTCTCCTCAGGTGGGGCAGGCCGCGGTGTGGGAGCCGGAGCACCAGGGGGAGCCAGCGTGCTGAGCAGCATCAGTCTGTATGACCCTCGGACTAACAAACCAGGCAGCCCTGGTATCAGCAGCAGCTCCAACAACTCCCCCAACTCAGCCAGCGCCGAGTCCAAACCCAGTGAACCCCCGGCGAGCAAACCCAAGTCCAAGGAGCCCCTGTTTGTTCGGAAGTCGGCGTTGGACCAACCGGAGCCGGAAAAAAGCAGCGAGCAAGGAACCGATCGATACAACAGCTATAATAGGCCGCGGCCCAAGCCCGCGCCCTCGCCCAACTCCACGGGCCAGGGAGGGCCCGCTGCAGCCGCCGCCGCAGGTCAGGGGGCTCCCGGAGCCGCCGGGGATCAGGGGCCCGCGGGCGTCCACAACCTACCGGTGTCCACTCTATTTGGCGCGGTGAAGCAGGCGGCCAAGCCCGGCGGGACGGGCAGCCCCTTTGGAGGCAACAGCCCGGTGCAGCCCGACCAGACAACCGCAGAGCAGGACAAGGCCTCGCTGAAGGACGTTTTCAAAGGCTTTGACCCCACAGCATCGCCCTTCTGCCAGTG